TTATCAATATATTGTTTGTATAATATTAAGGGTAATAATTTAATGTTGTAATTCTGTAAGTTACTTCTGTAAATATGAATAAAAACTTAATAAAAAGATTCAATGTGCGAATTAGTGTTAAAATTGAAACACATAATATTTAATTTTATTATTTAATCGGGTTTTATATAAACTTATGTATATGTACAAATGTTCATAGTTATTTATGTTTATTTGAATGCAAATCCATATGTATCAAATTTCTATAAATTGATCGGGTATATAATTTAATTTTCATAAATAATGTTAAATTAATAAAAGTTCGTAGTATACGAATATTTAATAATGATTTCATTATTTTCTATTTTAATAAATGTGAAACAATATCTTGCACACACTGTATGAAGTCCTCTAAAAATATTTCTTGCAATTATTATACAAATTGAAGAATTTTCAATTGGTATAATTTGATTATAATATGAATTATTTATATAATTGTAAATAATGTATATGAATTTTATTCTTATATTTTAAATCTGATATTTCTATTTAACCTTATTGTTATTTTAAACTATTTTTATTTAATTGTATTTGCCATAATTTTGAATTAGTTTGGAAGAATATTCTTTTCAAAAATAAATGTAATTAATATAATTTTTAAAACTTAAAATATAGATTACTATGGTATCCAGAATATAAATAAAATAAATATATTAAATTACATGTATTATTAAATTATATTTTCTAGGAAAATTTTTGATAATTCAATGAAAGATGTAATAAATTTAACAGACTTGAAGTTAATAATTATAGTTGTATGAACATCATATAACAAAGCGGAAAAATAAACAAACACCATGAATTACCTATCAATTTATTTTTAATTTTTAGGTACAAATTCAATGACTTATTTCAATTTCTATAACTAATAATATTAAACATTGTTATTCAATTTAGTTTTTGATTATCATTGTTTATTAAGTATGACACCATAAGTAGTAAATGAAGATTTTGTTAAGATATTAGAGTAGAGAAAGAAGTAGCTTGGATTATTCATGTAACATGAACATATGACAACTATTGTTCATGTCAGTCGTTCATGGCTAATTATGCGTAAAATCAAATAAGTTATATAAGCACATCAATATCAGCTAATTAACTGGTTTCGAAAATTTGCAAAAACCCGCAAAAAACTCTGTAGGGCAATCTGCAAGTTTTTGTATTAAAATATACTATATTTTTTATGATTTTTTTCTTATTTTTTCATAGTATTTCTGTTTATAATATTTTAAACAAAATCTAGTTGGATTTTATTTTACAAAAATGTGTGAAACAAAAAGCCAGAAAAATTATATGAAAAGATCTTTAATGAGCATTGTATAAGCATCATATATATAGAATATTAATATTATAATGCATTAATCAAACATATAATTAATAAAAGATTTTTAATAAAATATTATATATCTTATATTTTTATTTAATTGCTTAATTTTTGTAGATAATTTACATAAATTTTATAAAACAATTTCATTAGTCATTATAAATGAATAGTATAGATAACTTTGTTTTTATTTAGAATTATATAAAAAAATATATAATAAAAATATTTTTCTATTTTTTAATCATATAAATCAGATCTAAATATTGAAATTACTCGAAAACTAGAAACTTCAAATGTTACAAAAATGTTCGTTTTACTTTTGATTTGTTTGCGTATTCATTTTATTGAAGATATTGATATTTAAAATTTATTAATATATTACAAAGTTGCAAAAGAAATGTTTTAATAAAAATCATTATCTTTTAATATCAATATCTTATACTATTAATTACATATAATTTTATAGTAGTTTAACGAATAAGTTACTGTACTACCGTATCATTTACTTAATTATTACATTAAATAAATTATTACATTAAACTTAAAGAATATTCCAATTAATTTTATTACTGAATAAAATAATAAAAAAAATAATAATAATAATTGTTTATATCAATAAAATTGCAGAAATAATTGCCTTCTATTAGTATTTAATTAATTAAAATTTAAAACAATTTTCTTTATATATTTTTTAATTTATTATACATTATGTATTAATTTAAAATCATAATAATTATTTATTTAGAGAATCTCATTGATTTCTAAGTATTATATTATTATTTTTCAATTGCGAAAATAAAAAGAAATACATTTTTTTATACAATGATTATGATATATTAATAAAACTTTTTAATAAAATACTCAATATTACTTATTTAATATTTATTATTATATTTATTTTTAAAAAGTAATAGAATTACAATAAGAACTAGTGAATATATTAACAAATAACGTCAAAATAAATATTTATATTTTATTTTAGTGTTTAAGAAGTTATTATGCTACTTATCAAAAGAATTACATCTATTTTGAAGGATTAATTACCTCCTTAAACTGTAATTATTGTACATTTAGCAATAAAATCTTGAGATTAAACGAATCTTTTAAACTAACTATTTCCTACTCTAGATTTGTTTATTGTAATTTAATTATTCTATATATATATATATATATATATATATATATATATATATATATATATAAATATATACTCAGACTTTCGTATGTAAAATTAAGCTAAAATAGTTAATACCTAATATGATTGTTTTTTTATTACTACTTTGGATTTTAAAACTAAAAATTATATGAGTAATTGTTTAATAATAAACAAATTTTATGAATATCAATTACTTGAGTAAAATATTATTTAAAAAATTTGTTTACTTATTGAAAATTTAATATTGAGCATTACATCGTAGCTGCTAGATATGGGTTAATTTACAACAAAAAAATATATATTAGTTAAGCATTATGTTCCATTTATGTAGTTTAATGTTAAATATAAATCTCACAAATAATATATTATGTATAAATGTTATGTAATAATATATTAAATATAAATCTCACAAATAATATATTATGTTTATAAGTTTTTCACATCACAGATATTTTTTTAATAGGATGAAGTTTTTGTAGATGAATATTTATGTAACCTGATTTAATTATTATTTTTTGACTTTGCTACTATGGTAATACCAAATTATTTTAATTTATGAATATTTTGTTGAATATTGCTGCATATGTATATTACGAATCTTGAGTATTTATATTCGTATAAATAACATAAATAAAAAGTATTTATTAATATAGAAATTCTCAAGAAAATATATATATAAATATATAAGAAAATTCTATTATTTAATAATACTAATTAAAATTATGGATTAAAACTGTTTAGATAATCCTTTGTTATTTTAACAGGAGGTCCTCTGTCAAATATTGTAACTATGTAAATACCTAAGCATGCATTTTCTAAATATTTAGTAATGTTATTTCTATTATAATAAGCAGTATAAATATATGTCCGTGTTACATTACATTTTCTTAAAACTAATTGTTCTAAGAAACCGACAATTCATTTTAATAAATTAATGAATATATACTTCAAATTGAGTATTAGTATTATTAATAACATTTAATTAAATTATTATATGAGAAGTAAATTGTTTATTGAATTTGAAAAGGTTTCACATAAAATAATGGCTGATTTACTATTTTTCAAAATATCATCTGATTTTTTTAACAATAATAAGTTTATTTTATAAACTATCTTATTGTAAATTACATTATTTTTATCTATTATTTATATATATCATGAAATAATATTGATAATAATATAAAATAATGGCTATTTCAATTTTTTTCAAAATATCATCTATTTTTTATCATTTCTATCATTATTTTTATTTTTATTTATTTTTACTAATTAAATAATTTTACATTTAAATTAATGAATAAGTTCATTTATAAACATTGTGCTATATATTTTATAGTATAAGTACAAGTAAATTTATACATTTAAAAGTATAAAATATTTTTAAGTAACATGTGAAAGACCTCATTATGTTGTTGTTCTCATTTATGAAAATATATATGTATAATTATGATAATTAAATATTTTTCATCATTTACAAAAATTTAAAAGGATAATCTTTAATATATGAAAAACTAATTTTAAAATATTTAAATTTAAGTAATTTATATTTAAAGCAATAAATTTTTTAAATAAACGATAGTTTTCGAGCATAAGTGTAGTTCGTGCTTGTTGGCAGTAAGTCGTGAGCATCTCTTCTAAACTGTTGTACGCGTTGCTCGGAGATAAAACTTAATTACGTTTATGTTGGTCTTTGTCGGTGTATATCCTGTTTCATTTTACAAGTTAATCGTTGTTATTTACCTTATAGTAATAGGAAACTAACAATAAATTATTTATTACTTTACTGAAGAATAAATATTTTGCTTTTGATCTTTCAAAAGACAATTTATCTATGATAAGAGCTCAACGTTAATATTATATGATAGTGAGCATTTGATTTTTAACAGTTTAAGGGGCTGTAAATAATGTAACATTATTTTTAATAAAATACTTTGTGATACTCGAAGATATTATTGATATTAATACATAATAAAATTTTATGTAAATTAAACAGTGAATTTTATGGTTTATATAAATAATTATTTTTTATATTACACATAACTTGTACTAAATGTTACAGGGTAATGTATATACAAATAATGGGTAATTTTTAACATTTTTATGAGCTGAGTATATCATACAAATTTTTCGTAATATCATTATAAACTTGAAAGTTATTTTCATTAAATTGTGAAATAAGCAAGAACCACTTACTTATTGCACGAAATAATAAACGAGCTTTGTTTATAAGTAATCTTAATTTATTATAAAATTGTCATCTAATGGAGGAAGCTATAAATTTTAATTTATTCCACATATAATGAGCAATAATACAGTACAATATAATTACAATATACACACATTATAATAGTGCA